GAATGTACAACTATCGCTTCCTCGTGCATGAAAGTTTTTCGCAAAAACTTTTTGCGCGAGAAAGAAATAGGAATCATTCCTCCGGGCGGATATAGAAATGCGGATAAACAATCGCGAAAAGCCTTAAAGTGGTTAGTGTGGAAGGAGCGTGAGCTCGGTCATCGCATAATTCACGCGGGACGAGGGCGCGAGTACGAGATTGATGGCAGGCGCGTTGACGGATACTACGAGTCGGAATCGGCAGACGGAATACAACGTTACGTACTTCAATTTCACGGATGTTTCTGGCATGGATGTCCGACGTGCTTTCAGGTGAATCGCGACAGAACGCTTTTGTCCACGAATCGTGGAGATACGATCGACACGCGTTACGAACGAACTCTCACATCGACATATCGTCTACGAAAACGGGGATACCACGTGATAGAGAAATGGGAGTGTAACTTTGACCGGGAAATGCGTGAAAATCTTGAGATGCGTGATTTTCTCAAGAATCACACGTTATTAAAATCTGATCCTCTCGACCCGCGCGATGCGTTTTTCGGCGGTCGTACGGGAAACATCGCTACCCGCTATGAAATTACGGGTACAGAGAAAATACGTTATGTGGACGTATGCTCTTTGTATCCGTATGTATTGAAAACGGGTGCTTTCCCATACGGTCACCCCGATATTTATGTCGGTGAGGACTGTAATGAGTTAATTGGTGAAGCGCCAAATTTTAATTTTGACTCGGTCGAAGGTCTTGTACGCTGCAAGGTGCTCCCGCCGCGTAATCTCTTTCATCCGGTACTCCCGTATCGGGTAAGAGGAAAGCTGCTTTTCGCACTGTGTCGAAGCTGTTGCGAAACTTTCTCGCAGGAAACGTGCACTCACGATCGTCCCGACAAGTGTGAATTCGAAGGTACTTGGGTATCCTGCGAATTACGCAAAGCCATCGAAAAGGGCTATCTCGTGACGAGCGTTAGTGAAATTTGGCAGTATAAAGTCACACGATACGATCCCAATACTCGGCAGGGAGATTTGTTTGTCGAATATATAAATACATTTCTACAATTAAAGCAGAAAGCTAGTGGATGGACGAGCGAATGCGGGGATAACGATGACGATGCTAAGGAACGTTACCTGAGGGAATACGAAAAAACCGAGGGTATCGTTCTCGATAGAAATAACATTACTCGAAATTCCGGTTTGCGTTCGGTCGCTAAGCTTTGTCTAAATTCATTTTGGGGAAAATTCGGCCAGCGAACCAATCTGCCTAATACTGAGATCGTAAAGTCATACCAACGACTAATGACTTTACTCACGAGTCCGGAGCATGAGATAACTGATATATTACCCGTCAATAACGAGGTAATATATGTTTCGTGGCGGTTACGTGAAGAGGCGGTCGCATCTTCTCCGATGACGAACGTCGTAATCGCGGCAAATACGACGGCGTTAGCGAGATTAAAATTATACGATTATTTAGAAAAATTATATAAGCGCGTTTTATATTACGATACAGACTCATGTATCTACTTGTACCGGTGAGCCGAATGAGTACGAACCGCGTACGGGTAATTTTCTGGGCGATATGACGGATGAACTCGAAAGCTACGGTCGCGGTAGTTATATCGAGTCGTTTGTTTCTGGTGGTCCAAAATTTTACTCGTATATCGTTCGTACGCCAGAAGGACGCACGCATGAGGTCTGTAAAATAAAGGGAATAACACTTAATTTTAAGAATTCGATCGTTCTAAATTTTAATAGTATTAAGAAATTAATTGAAGAAAATGAGAGAAAAAGGCGAGAAGCAGAAGAACAAACGGCGGGGAAAGCGGTGATAAATTTGCATTTTACAGCAATTCGGCGTACTGCGTTTCATGAAATTATAACACGAAATGAGACAAAGTCATGTGCGCCGGTATTGGTAAAACGTAAATTTATTAATAATCGTTATTCTTTTCCATACGGTTTCGTAGATGAATAACCTTTTCTCTCGCTCGAACTTTCTCTCTCGTTTTAAGTTAGCAACGTTGTCGAGTTTTCCGTCCATTAGTATAATTAGGTAAAAATGTAAAGTTATAATGTAAGATTTTGTAAAATATGAATACTGTTTTTATAAACATTTTATTGTTTTGTACATCTTTTTAGTATTAAAATTGTTGTTCATTTTTATAATGTAAAATATAAATATTTTTTTACCATATAAAATTGTATTGTATTCGAGGCGTTCGAAAAATGATTAAATAAAAAACAACTTTAAAAACTCTTTTTCCTCTTTTTCCCCTTTTTCGTAAGAAATAAGTGATAAACATAAAAATAAAATATTTTATATTTAAAACACAAGAAAAATTTTTTACCTTCTTCCTTCCTCCGTTATAAGCTTTTTTCCCACGGCATCGCATGTAAGCTCGTAGCGGCGATGCCCCCTCCTCTCACATATCCAAAAGAATTGTAGGCTGACTTCGTCGCGGATAAGCTTATGCGCGTCGCACCGATGCGAATCAGCTCAGAAGACGACTCGGTGCTCTCCGCCCCCTGATTAGCCTACGTGGGGGTACGCTGACGCGAGCGTGTGCCCGCCGCGTGGGGGCCTCGTCGCGTCGATTAGCTTATCTCCCTGCTTAAATTTGTCCTTTACACATTCTTGAAAATAATGTTAAGCGCCATTTTTTACCCTTTTCTTATTTGCTTTTGAAGTCTTGCACGGTAATCGCGTGTTCATTTCGCAAAATGGACGTGCGCTGGAAACATCCCTGGACATCGATCGTATGCGGTCCTACCGGTTGCGGAAAGACGATTTTCGTAAAGACTTTCCTCCGATATTTATCTCTCATGTCCGACGTGCGTTTCGAGAGAGTTTTATTTTATTACGCGGAGTGGCAAGAAGCTTATCGACAATTACAATACGACGATCGTGAAAAAGAGATCGAAGAACAGAGTTGGCGACGCAGTAACGTTAAAGCGACGAAGAAGAAGAAGAAGAACGTAATTGAATTTCGCGAGGGATTACCTCGTTCGGAGGATTACTCGAACGATCCGCTCTCCCCGAAATTAGTGATAATCGACGATCTTATGAGAGAATCGTCGTCGAGCGACGCGATCGTGGATCTTTTCACCAAAGGCAGTCATCACAAGAATCTCAGTGTTATTCTTATCTCGCAGAATCTCTTCCATCAGGGACGTGGTCAGCGCGATATATCGCTCAACGCGAATTACATCGTCGTTTTCAAAAATCCACGTGATCGAGCTCAAATTCGTCATTTAGCGCGTCAAGTCTATCCCGACGATCCGAAATTTCTAGAAGAGGCATACTACGACGCTACGTCGAGGCCTCACGGCTATTTGCTGCTTGATCTGAAACAATCAACCCCGGACGAGTACCGATTTCGAACGTGTATTTTTCCCGAAGATACGACTCATTACGTCTACGTGGCACGTAGATCATTTTCCAGGGGATTCGTATAAAAAGAGAGTACGGGTAATCGTACGTGTCAGTCGTAGATTTTTCTCGCGATGAAGGTGGTTGACAAGAAATCGCACAGGGCGACGAAAATCGCCACACATTCGATCGGTAACAGAAACGTCTGTCTCCTCGCGGCGCTCTATCATTTGAACAAAAATCAACGTACAACCTTCTTACGCGGTGCTGACGAAAAATTAATTCGTTGTATCTGTGAATGTGTTTTTAATACACTCGAAGGTAACGTCTCGCTCGAACGTTGTGAAAAAAATCGGTTAACCAAATACAAAACGCCTCTGCGTCGCATCGTTGCAAAACGTGGAAATTGGAAGGATAAAAGAAAGCTGTTGGTGCAGCGAGGCGGATTTTTACCTTATATTATCGGACCTATATTATCGACCTTATTATCACTAATTATCGAAGATACGAAATAGTGGGGATAAAACGCTATGGAGAGGGCCAAAAAAATGGTTTTAATTTCGACGGAAAACCTCGAGAGAATGCAACATCAGTTACGTCAGAATCCGACATCATTCGCTGACGGAGAGTCAAAGGAAATCGCAATACCGCAAAATTCAGATAACACAGCGAGCACTAATAGCACAGCGCAAACTCCCGGAACTCATCTAACACGACTCGATGCGGAGATGGGCCGTATTCTTAATTCTGACTGGCCACGTGACGAAAGTGAGAGATGGAAAATATACAGAGAGGCATTATGGCGATACCTACGATTTATCCAAGAAACGCAAAGGCAGAAAGACGCCCGCAGCGAAAACGCAGAAGACAACGCTACACGAGGTGGCTCCGCTGATAACGAGACGACGAGCGATGACGTTTTTCACGATCTCACGCAAACATCCGATATACCGCCAGCACATTCCATCAGTAATACCGGTATTATTACGAAAAATTTTGAAATTTCGAGCGATCATAATCATGCGAAGAATAATCATGCGATGAAAAGCATCGAGGAAATAGTGGAAAGCGTACCGAAATCTTATCGTAAGCATGCACACTTACTGATGAAACATTTGATTCGAAATGCTATACCTGATAGAATTAGTTGGGACGAGCATGGAATCGTGACTATAGATGGCAACGTCGTGAAAGACTCGAATATCACTGACTTGATAAACGACGTGATGCGCGAGGGAAAAACTGTGAAAGCAGTAGGTAGAAATCAGTTCGCGCGATTACTCCGTGCGTTGAACGTACCTTCTGCGCTGGTGAGAAATAAAAGATTATTGTCCTCGCACGGTGTTGGTGTAAACAGCGTAAAACTTCGACCTCGGGCGAGTTCCACGCCTTTTATATCGAAAGCGCAAGTTCCACGCCGATTGTATCGAGAGGAAAGAGAAAAACGTAAAAAT